ATTGCAAAATTGAATTTTTGATAAAATAAAAAAAATGGTATGGAAGTGGAAAAAGAGTGCTGAACAAGGAGCCTGCAGGAGAATGAACAGAATTAAAAATAAATGTGATGAAATGATATGGGATGAAATTAAAGTGAGGGAATGCTGGAAGGAGTAGTTTAGATATTTACGAAATGAAATGAGAGTGTTGTGTTGAAGAGTATAAATGAAACAAATGCTATTGACTCACAGGTTTCAAATTGCTAGCTCATGGCCTGCATGTGGCCTTCCCAGTCATTTTGCGCTGCTTTTGCTTTACTCACCCCGGAGCAAGGTCAGAAGTAGGACAGCAGCTTCTGATTCTCCCTTAGGCTGATAAGCAAGCATGCCTCACAGGCATCTCAGAACAGTAGTCTGTTGTTTCCCACCTTGCCAGATTTAACACTTGCATTATTTCCTTCTCTATACTCACTCTCCTTATCTCTGTTGTACCTGGAGGTACCAGGAACTCTTTCCCTTCTGCTCCGACAAGCTGTTTGTCTAAGGGTTGACAAAGTGCCCCCTTCACCTGTCTCTTCTACCTCCCATCTTTGTTGGGAAAGTCACTAAAGCACCTCCTGAAGTTCTGCAATATGAGCATCCAGACTTCATATAATTTAATTAAATTACCAAATCATCTAAACATATAATTAAACATTTGTCCAGCATGTCATGAAAAATTAGATTCATAAGTTGCTCGAAGATTGCAGAGGTATTCATTTATCCAGAGAACATTATCACATAGCCAAACTTTTTATAACAAGTATTGAAGTCAGTTGAATATTTTTATTCTCTTTCATGAGAATCAGGCTCTAGGCCTCTCAGAGATTTAATCTGGTAAAATGTGTGCCTTCCGCAGCCATTCTAAAAGTTTGGGAATGAAGGACAGAGGTGATACCTTTTGCTTACAGAATTCAGGAGCTATAATTAGGGATCATGCCAAGAAAGACCTTTTAGCATGAAAGGTTGGAGTGCTGGTGATGAGGCATGGGTGGCAGAAGCAACTTTTGTAAGTTGTCATCAATTTATTCCTTTAGATAGATTAATTCAGTTTCAGACATGGAATTTTTGCCAGAATCTGAAATCTAAATCCCAGGAATCAGGTTTATAATCCAGTCACAGAATGAACACTGGGCAAAACCTGAGCCTGCTCTTTTTCTAACATAACCATGTAATCAGTACATTTGGCAGACAAGCAGAAAGGATGTCGTCGTAATGAGCAGGACAGAAGGCATCAGCCTTTTAGGCAATGAATTCTGAATATGTTGGAATAAAAAGTAATTCTTTCCTAGTTCCAATGAATATGCACATTGTGAGTTTGAAGCCAAGCCATTCATAAAACTATCAGAAAATGGGGAAGCCAAATCAAGTTGCAAGGACTCTTGATAGCTGTCAATGGTGATTAGGCCCTGAACCATCAATAATTTCTACCTAGACAGGGGTATCAATAGGATAAGTAATATTTTAATGTGTTGGAAACTTCTATAAAGTTGCTCATGGTGCCACAATCTATTTAATCCTACAATAATATTGTGGGGCCAGTCTGGCCCTGAAGTGTAACAAAAATAGCTAAATATTGATATGTAACATTGTTATTTCTGGGTCCCAATTAATTTCTGGATGTCTTCATCTTATTTTGAAGACTACTAATCACCCTGAAAATTGTATGTGGCAGCCATTACGAAAACATGAATTTAGCCTGGAAAAAAAAGAACAGGTTGAGGGAGAAACTCAAGATTGTCCTTCCTCCACACTTGACTCTCAATGGTATAAGAAGGAGAAACTCTGTCAGGCTTTCAACATTATGTTATTGTACCTTATAACAATAGTGTTTCAGATGTTCATGCAGCGTTTGTTTCCTGAAAGGGCGTACTTCAAAAGGCTGATATCTCTGAGCCTGTTGAAGTTGGGACTTTTCCTGACAAGCCAGATTGGAGCAGATGGCAGCTATGGGCAGGAGGGTCTTTGTACTAATCCATCTTCTGCGCCAACTGGACCCATTCCTGGATCAGGAGGCCTTGCTTGCCACCACTTCACCACTTCAATCACTTCCCAGCTCGAATATTACAATGAACTCTACATGGTGTTGCCCTTGAAAACTATGCAAAAGCTGCAATTGGTCTAGAATACACTGAGGCTAGTAGTTATGGGCACTGTATGGTGCACTCATGTAGCACTTCTATTTCATGAGCTGCACCAGCTCCTAGTAAGCTCCTGGTGTAATTCAAGGTGCTGGTTATCACCTAAAAAGCCTGAAGAGAGCCAAGGAGAGAACCTTGGGGAAATAAGACAAAGGCAATGGTTGCAAAAACATACTTTAAGCCTGGAAAACAGAGAAAATTGTGGCTGATCTACTGAGATAACTGATTAATCATCAGGGTGAATTGGTCCATCTGTGTTGCCATCCAGTTCTCATGCTACACTCCTTGGTTCTGATATTGAGCAGGGCCTCAGTGAGAAGGTCAATACACATGGTATTGGTTTAGGACATTTGAAACAGTTTTTCCTCCTGTAGAATTGGAATTAAGGAGAAAATGCTCTTGCTCTCAGAAAATTGTCCCAGGGCCCAGCAATAATCCTCTTTTTGGAATTAAAGGGCTCAAGGCAAATAGGAAAAAAATCTTTATTGAATATTAAACAAATATTAGTAAGATAAAGAACAGTTTCAACAAGACTATGAATCTGGTTCTACATACTGTATATGCACTTCTCCAAGATTTAAACTCTATGTTTCTTTCCCCTGCCTTTTTGTAATGGACTAGTTGAAATCTGCTTCTCAGGCTAGAGTCTACTGGAATGGGCAACCATAACAAATTTAAATAACAATAATAATGCCCAATTATTATTATTTTTTCCTGGGCAGTTCCAATCCTCATAAAAACCTTTCAATTCTGATTTAAAAGTACATTATATCTTCTCATCTCAAGTTATTAAAAAAAGATGATAAAAAGTTTTGTTCATTTGTTTTTTGTATCAGATTCAGCCGGCACGGTACGGCACAGCATAGCATGGTGAAGCACCGCTCAGCCACGCCTAGTCAATTTCACCGCCCGGGCGCTAGCCAAGGAAAAGGGGAAGTGAAACCGCAAACTGATTACCGCCAGGTGGCGACAACTGCAAGCAGATACTTTGTATCAGCGCAGTTTCCACTCAGGCACTGCAAACAAAGGAAAGCGGAGAGGCTCAACTCCTGGCTTTGCGCGCAAACAGGCAAACCCAACAAAGGCAACAACAGCACAACCCATAGACT